TGGTCCTCACCACTGCAGTTAGCAGAGAAGTAGCTGAGTCTGACCTTGAGCCTGTGCAGGGAAAACAACGGGATCAGGGCCACTGGGAATAACCGGTGTGTCCACTGAGGGCAGCAGGAGGCAGGGTGTTTTGTGGGGAGCGGTGGAGCTGCAGCAGCAGGGAGGGCCAAGGGCCATAGGAGGGAGCGGTATGGTAGCCCTGGGGAATGTCACGCAGCTTTGGGACCCATGGCCCTGCGATGTCAGGAGTCAGGTCTGCTTTGAACCTTGAGGCAAACCACGCTGCTTCGCTCCTCACTAAAGCTCCTGCAAGCTGGAACGGAGAGGAGAACGTCTGTTTACTTTCTCGGGTGTTTGGTGTAGCATCAGCAGATCCTGCACCGGGACTTGAGTTGGTTCTCTGGGTGGTACCTCTGAGGTACTATCAGACCTATCAGAGATAGGACCTCTGGGGCTGTGGAGCAATTCACGGACATTGATGGAATTGAGTCCCCAGGGAGAGCTGCTTACTGGAGGACTCCCTCCCTTCCAGTGGGCAGGGCCTTTTATGTGTTGTTGTTTGGTATTTTTATAAAATGATCAAAACTAATGAGCATTCTTTTTTGTTGTTGAGGCTGCACTGAGGACTGGTGAATGTCCTGAGCTTTGGATTTAGGGATGAAGCAGCCTCTTTTGGGGTGGGAGAATGAAAGCTTATCCAATGTATGCTCTAAAACTTCCATATCTACTGGACAAGATTTTCTGGGTTTTGTAGGTCAAGTAACAAGGGACAGTAGCACAGGGATTCCCTCACAGAGTATCACTCATTTATTGTTTGTGTTTCTATTGAGGTGATGCTTTATGCCAGCTGAATAGAGTGCATCTGACAGACCCTTTCTGCTTCCTTCCAGTGTCCTCCTGTGCTTGGCCTCTGTGGTTCTCCACATGCAGTGTTGGAAGGATTCCCTGCAGGTCCCTCTTTGATACTTCCCTGAGCCTTTCTCTGCGGCTCTTACTTTCTGTACATCGATGGAGGTAAGCCATCTGAAACACTAATCCAATAGACCTATGAGCTGAGGCTTATCTGCACATGGGGGCCTCCCCAACAAAGTGTGGTTTAGCCATGTGCCTACTAACATTGCCTGTTGTAATTTCCACCAAGAGGACTTCCCGCATCCAGTGTAGAGTCCTTGTTTTAAAGAATCATGTCACCTCTGCCATCTTCCATTCCTCAACTACCAATGCTGGTTTAAGCAATGGGATACAGTAATAGGTAACAACTGGGACCTCCAGTTCCCTCCTCACCTCTCCTGGGTAAGGCATGCAACATCAGGCAATGCTAGCCTGGGTTGGATGGACGCTCCTGATTTTCCACTCCTACTGGTGTTGAGCTCTTTGACAGTGTAAGCTGTTTATGCCAGTGTTGTGAGCCACATTCTGAGCTGCCAGCTTTGTCCAAACCATTCTCAGTTTTGCACAAGAAAGGGCAAGATGCAGGCAGAGGTCTGAACACTGCTTTCTGAACAGGTCTGGGAAGGCACCAGTCTTCCAGCAACATGCATCAGCCATCAGCATCGCGTTACCAGCCTTGGCACACCTGATGGATGTGCCTGATATTAAAAACGGCTTGTCTGCATGGGGCTTATTGCCTGATGGTTGTAGATAACAACAGATGTAAGCAAAGTGCGTAAAATCTTTAAATCTTTAACAAATCTCTCATTAATCCCAGCTAAGTAGATTAAAGCTGACTGCAGGCTTTAAAAGGAAGCAAGCTGATCACTTGTAGGACAGAGAAAATATATACAATGAAAAACAGTCAGACAGATAGGCTGTAATGTGCAGTTCCTTTGTTCCTGGTCTAGATAAAACTAGGATGGCAGTCAGACCAATAGACCTGGGTTCAACGGAGCCAAAGATTCAATGAGACGAGACTGTACAGCATGATTCTATTTAGAATAATTCAAAAATATCAAAGACACTACAGGCAGATATTGTCTATGCACTGCAGACATAGGAAACAAAGCAGTTCTGTATGAATGGCATCTTCAGAAAAACAAGACAGGATGCTGAAGTCCCAGATGAAAATCAGGATCCTTCTCAAGGTTCAGCCTGATGTAAAGGTCCTGAATATGAGAATGTTCATGGCTTCTGGTACCCTCTCTACAGTGGTCACTGGAACTGATCTGTATTTGCAGACGTAAGTCTCATTGGCAGTGAAATGGTTAAATATCTTAGCACAATGAAATTCAGCCAGATATTTACATTTTGCTTCAGTAACTGAAGGAGTGGATTTTGTAGGATTAGACTCTTAGCTGGAGTGATTTGGTGTTTCGCTTCCTTAGAACCATGTGTTCCTTTTCTAAAGGTATATTCCAAGGTGTAAAGCATATAAACATTGGCAGCTGTAAATGTCGCAGGTTCAGGTGAAAGCTCTTCAGCAAAGGCCAGACATACCTCTATAACCTGTCCCTGTTGTAACTCAGTGACTTGCTCTCAGCTGGTGCTCTCCCCTTTGCTGACCCGTCTGCCCATCCTATTTGTCTGCTCATACAGTTGTCCATGGCTCCTGCCCATCAAGGGCCATATACTGTCTGCCACTCTTTCTCATGTGTTGTCTGTCCCAATCCCTTATTTCAGTGGTGCCCACTCTCTTTGCCACTTTAGTGATTCTGTTTTCACTGTATTTGCCTTTGACTCATCACGGTGCGGTCCCCAGACCAACAAGGACTAGGCCTTTCTGCCCTAGCATCTATATATATGTGTTTCAAAGGTGGCACCATGATGACCGGTGCTAAAAATTGCAGCAGGACCTCCTGCATCTGTTGTCATGTATCCAAATGGAAATACTGATGTTATTTCCTGAAGATTAAGGTTGACAATCAGATCAATGGCAGGTTTTCTGAGTTTGGTGGTAACGAAGGGAAAACAAGAGATGCAGGGTAAATCTTCTGAAGGGACAAATGCTGCTTGACCAGCAATGCCTGAGTGAGCCTGTGTCTACGAGAAGGGAGCTCTTGGTGGTTTTCCCACATTGGCAGGTAGGGTTTTGCTCTTTCAAGTGCAAGCTGCAATTTGAGGGGGCTTTGTGAGCAGGGCAGGTTGTCATGTCCCTCTTCTCTACCTCTGTGAGATGGACAGAACAACAGACTTGATACAGGTGATTCAGCCTGGGCCCTCGCTGTGCAGTTAGGTCTTTAGTGCTAGAGGAAAGAAGCTGGCTGAAGGTTTCAAAGCTGCGATAGCAATTGGTCTCCTAAAACAGTCACACTTGCTTTAATAAAGTTGCACTTTGTCTAATCGTGTGAGGAAATGGCTGAAAAACAAGGACAGGAGGGTGCCTTGCTTCTCCCCCAACTTTACCAAAATTATGAAAAATTTCTATTATTGCTCTCAGATGATCATAGGATATTGTACTTAAATGCTGAGATCTGCTCACCTTGCTCCCCAAATAGTCAGCTTCCTCACCCTGCAAACTGCCCAAGGGCACAATAAGTAGGTTAATGCTTGCTTTAGGGTTAGCCTGAGGGTGAGAGTTCCCCACAGGAACAGCAGAGTTGTATTTGCTTTGTGTGTGTGCCTGAGTTCATGCATGGGGAAGCCTTCAAGGTGAATGAATACCTACTGCTCCCATTTCATTGTTGTGTGCCCCTTCCTCCTCATTTCTGGCCCAGCAGTGGAAACCTGTGTGGCCTTATGGCTGATTACTGAGCAGTCACTTTGCATAACAGGCCTGCTTATTATGTTAATTCTTTGTTCATTGGTGCCTTGCGTCGTTTTGACTCCCTTGTTTGGGAGCAAGTGCAAAGAGCAAGGGACAAGGACAGGGAAATAGAATAAATGCAAAAGGTGGAGATTACATCTCTGAGTATTCTTTGCATGCTGTAAACATTAGTATGTTACAGCCTGGAGAAACAGCAAGTGCTGTGTCTCCTATTTCCAAGACGCAGCCCATGTGCTGGCTTCCCTCACGGTTCTCTGCACTCAGAATCTGGGGCACAAGTCACAGGCAGCTGAACATCTTCTTGAAGAGGGTCAAGACAGCCCAAGGCATCTCTTTGGGTTTTTGAAGCCAAGTAGCTCAGGTCAAAGCAGGCAGCACTAACGTAGCTCGAGAAAACTGATTTCCACTCCTTTGTATCATCCTCTACCTCCCAGGCAGGGAATCCCTCTGAGGTGCTCTCCAGGGCTGAGGAATTGCCCTTGTGTCCTGTGTGCATTGCAGCGACTGCAGCTGCTGGGAGGAGCTACGGGAGAGGCAAACTCAACCACACATCTCAGAGGCTGGTTGGCTCGGTTGCTTCTTGCCTCATGCTTGGAAAGAAAGGCTTCCAGCTGCACGAGGCAGAAGACCCACAGGCCAGACACTTACTGAGATCCAGAAACAAGATCTCTTCCTCAGGCTATGTGTTTGCACACCACTAGCATCCTGCCCTTCTCTTTAGACAGGGATTTACCTGGAGTACCCAGCTCTTCCATGGTGTCTGTGTTGTTTCATAAACTCTCTCCTGAAAGAGTGAGATGGGCCCAGACTGGCACTGCTTTGAGCCCTTCACTTCTGTGTTCTCCACAGAGCCCTCTTACATCAGGGAAGAATAGCGTAGGGAGGAGCAGGTTGTTACCTCTTTTTCTTCCAGCTGTTTCTTATGAATCTGAGTGATGCTCGTTTTTCTTTTCTATGAAGACTGTGGCTCTTATGCTGGTGCCCCAGGAGGATGTATCTCCCTGGACCAGGACATGCAGCCTGGATTCAGCTCTGCCAGACCAGGCATGGTGAGGGAGACAGGACTAAGATTTTCCTTGGGATGGTGATATACTGAATATCTCAGATTCAGTCTAGAGGGACATGTGTGTGACCAGAAGCAGGCTGTTTCCTGAAGAGGTTTTGTAGGTCAAGTAACAAGGGACAGTAGCACAGGGATTCCCTCACAGAGTATCACTCATTTATTGTTTGTGTTTCTATTGAGGTGATGCTTTATGCCAGCTGAATAGAGTGCATCTGACAGACCCTTTCTGCTTTCTTCCAGTGTCCTCCTGTGCTTGGCCTCTGTGGTTCTCCACATGCAGTGTTGGAAGGATTCCCTGCAGGTCCCTCTTTGATACTTCCCTGAGCCTTTCTCTGCGGCTCTTACTTTCTGTACATCGATGGAGGTAAGCCATCTGAAACACTAATCCAATAGACCTATGAGCTGAGGCTTATCTGCACATGGGGGCCTCCCCAACAAAGTGTGGTTTAGCCATGTGCCTACTAACATTGCCTGTTGTAATTTCCACCAAGAGGACTTCCCGCATCCAGTGTAGAGTCCTTGTTTTAAAGAATCATGTCACCTCTGCCATCTTCCATTCCTCAACTACCAATGCTGGTTTAAGCAATGGGATACAGTAATAGGTAACAACTGGGACCTCCAGTTCCCTCCTCACCTCTCCTGGGTAAGGCATGCAACATCAGGCAATGCTAGCCTGGGTTGGATGGACGCTCCTGATTTTCCACTCCTACTGGTGTTGAGCTCTTTGACAGTGTAAGCTGTTTATGCCAGTGTTGTGAGCCACATTCTGAGCTGCCAGCTTTGTCCAAACCATTCTCAGTTTTGCACAAGAAAGGGCAAGATGCAGGCAGAGGTCTGAACACTGCTTTCTGAACAGGTCTGGGAAGGCACCAGTCTTCCAGCAACATGCATCAGCCATCAGCATCGCGTTACCAGCCTTGGCACACCTGATGGATGTGCCTGATATTAAAAACGGCTTGTCTGCATGGGGCTTATTGCCTGATGGTTGTAGATAACAACAGATGTAAGCAAAGTGCGTAAAATCTTTAAATCTTTAACAAATCTCTCATTAATCCCAGCTAAGTAGATTAAAGCTGACTGCAGGCTTTAAAAGGAAGCAAGCTGATCACTTGTAGGACAGAGAAAATATATACAATGAAAAACAGTCAGACAGATAGGCTGTAATGTGCAGTTCCTTTGTTCCTGGTCTAGATAAAACTAGGATGGCAGTCAGACCAATAGACCTGGGTTCAACGGAGCCAAAGATTCAATGAGACGAGACTGTACAGCATGATTCTATTTAGAATAATTCAAAAATATCAAAGACACTACAGGCAGATATTGTCTATGCACTGCAGACATAGGAAACAAAGCAGTTCTGTATGAATGGCATCTTCAGAAAAACAAGACAGGATGCTGAAGTCCCAGATGAAAATCAGGATCCTTCTCAAGGTTCAGCCTGATGTAAAGGTCCTGAATATGAGAATGTTCATGGCTTCTGGTACCCTCTCTACAGTGGTCACTGGAACTGATCTGTATTTGCAGACGTAAGTCTCATTGGCAGTGAAATGGTTAAATATCTTAGCACAATGAAATTCAGCCAGATATTTACATTTTGCTTCAGTAACTGAAGGAGTGGATTTTGTAGGATTAGACTCTTAGCTGGAGTGATTTGGCGTTTCGCTTCCTTAGAACCATGTGTTCCTTTTCTAAAGGTATATTCCAAGGTGTAAAGCATATAAACATTGGCAGCTGTAAATGTCGCAGGTTCAGGTGAAAGCTCTTCAGCAAAGGCCAGACATACCTCTATAACCTGTCCCTGTTGTAACTCAGTGACTTGCTCTCAGCTGGTGCTCTCCCCTTTGCTGACCCGTCTGCCCATCCTATTTGTCTGCTCATACAGTTGTCCATGGCTCCTGCCCATCAAGGGCCATATACTGTCTGCCACTCTTTCTCATGTGTTGTCTGTCCCAATCCCTTATTTCAGTGGTGCCCACTCTCTTTGCCACTTTAGTGATTCTGTTTTCACTGTATTTGCCTTTGACTCATCACGGTGCGGTCCCCAGACCAACAAGGACTAGGCCTTTCTGCCCTAGCATCTATATATATGTGTTTCAAAGGTGGCACCATGATGACCGGTGCTAAAAATTGCAGCAGGACCTCCTGCATCTGTTGTCATGTATCCAAATGGAAATACTGATGTTATTTCCTGAAGATTAAGGTTGACAATCAGATCAATGGCAGGTTTTCTGAGTTTGGTGGTAACGAAGGGAAAACGAGATGCAGGGTAAATCTTCTGAAGGGACAAATGCTGCTTGACCAGCAATGCCTGAGTGAGCCTGTGTCTACGAGAAGGGAGCTCTTGGTGGTTTTCCCACATTGGCAGGTAGGGTTTTGCTCTTTCAAGTGCAAGCTGCAATTTGAGGGGGCTTTGTGAGCAGGGCAGGTTGTCATGTCCCTCTTCTCTACCTCTGTGAGATGGACAGAACAACAGACTTGATACAGGTGATTCAGCCTGGGCCCTCGCTGTGCAGTTAGGTCTTTAGTGCTAGAGGAAAGAAGCTGGCTGAAGGTTTCAAAGCTGCGATAGCAATTGGTCTCCTAAAACAGTCACACTTGCTTTAATAAAGTTGCACTTTGTCTAATCGTGTGAGGAAATGGCTGAAAAACAAGGACAGGAGGGTGCCTTGCTTCTCCCCCAACTTTACCAAAATTATGAAAAATTTCTATTATTGCTCTCAGATGATCATAGGATATTGTACTTAAATGCTGAGATCTGCTCACCTTGCTCCCCAAATAGTCAGCTTCCTCACCCTGCAAACTGCCCAAGGGCACAATAAGTAGGTTAATGCTTGCTTTAGGGTTAGCCTGAGGGTGAGAGTTCCCCACAGGAACAGCAGAGTTGTATTTGCTTTGTGTGTGTGCCTGAGTTCATGCATGGGGAAGCCTTCAAGGTGAATGAATACCTACTGCTCCCATTTCATTGTTGTGTGCCCCTTCCTCCTCATTTCTGGCCCAGCAGTGGAAACCTGTGTGGCCTTATGGCTGATTACTGAGCAGTCACTTTGCATAACAGGCCTGCTTATTATGTTAATTCTTTGTTCATTGGTGCCTTGCGTCGTTTTGACTCCCTTGTTTGGGAGCAAGTGCAAAGAGCAAGGGACAAGGACAGGGAAATAGAATAAATGCAAAAGGTGGAGATTACATCTCTGAGTATTCTTTGCATGCTGTAAACATTAGTATGTTACAGCCTGGAGAAACAGCAAGTGCTGTGTCTCCTATTTCCAAGACGCAGCCCATGTGCTGGCTTCCCTCACGGTTCTCTGCACTCAGAATCTGGGGCACAAGTCACAGGCAGCTGAACATCTTCTTGAAGAGGGTCAAGACAGCCCAAGGCATCTCTTTGGGTTTTTGAAGCCAAGTAGCTCAGGTCAAAGCAGGCAGCACTAACGTAGCTCGAGAAAACTGATTTCCACTCCTTTGTATCATCCTCTACCTCCCAGGCAGGGAATCCCTCTGAGGTGCTCTCCAGGGCTGAGGAATTGCCCTTGTGTCCTGTGTGCATTGCAGCGACTGCAGCTGCTGGGAGGAGCTACGGGAGAGGCAAACTCAACCACACATCTCAGAGGCTGGTTGGCTCGGTTGCTTCTTGCCTCATGCTTGGAAAGAAAGGCTTCCAGCTGCACGAGGCAGAAGACCCACAGGCCAGACACTTACTGAGATCCAGAAACAAGATCTCTTCCTCAGGCTATGTGTTTGCACACCACTAGCATCCTGCCCTTCTCTTTAGACAGGGATTTACCTGGAGTACCCAGCTCTTCCATGGTGTCTGTGTTGTTTCATAAACTCTCTCCTGAAAGAGTGAGATGGGCCCAGACTGGCACTGCTTTGAGCCCTTCACTTCTGTGTTCTCCACAGAGCCCTCTTACATCAGGGAAGAATAGCGTAGGGAGGAGCAGGTTGTTACCTCTTTTTCTTCCAGCTGTTTCTTATGAATCTGAGTGATGCTCGTTTTTCTTTTCTATGAAGACTGTGGCTCTTATGCTGGTGCCCCAGGAGGATGTATCTCCCTGGACCAGGACATGCAGCCTGGATTCAGCTCTGCCAGACCAGGCATGGTGAGGGAGACAGGACTAAGATTTTCCTTGGGATGGTGATATACTGAATATCTCAGATTCAGTCTAGAGGGACATGTGTGTGACCAGAAGCAGGCTGTTTCCTGAAGATCACACTGTTCCGCTGCAGAAAAGGAATGGGATCAGAGATTTAAGTCGGTGTTTTGCCTTCTGCATAACCTGGTATTTAAAGAGCTGATGCCTTGTTGAAGAACCTGGCCCTCATGCACTTTCTGTCTAGCTGCTCAAGCCCCAACTCAGCCACCAAAGCCACATCTTGGGTTTCTATTGTCTAGTAATGGTTTGGTTTCTTCTTTGATTCAGCCTCACTTTTAACCAGTACAAATGATGGAGCAACAAGAACTGAGGTTTCAGGTGGTTTTTAAAGAGTAACTTATTTCCTTGTCAAATGCACACAAACACCCAGGAAGTGCCAGTTATCAACATGTTCAGTAGGTGGAGGGATCTGGGTTGCAGAAACAGGGGCTGCTTGGACCTCCCTCCCTGCAGAGCAGTAGTCTGCCCCTTCAGAAAAGATTCAAAGAAATTCTGTGGATTTTTCAGTGGTTTAGCCTTAGATTTTCTGTTTGTATTTGTATAACTAAGAATTTTCTATTCGCTCTGCGGCTTTTTCTTCTTCTTTGATGCTTTTTTGAAGCATCATCCATATTAAAACCTGAATTGTCTTTAAAAAATGAATTATTTAACTGGTGTGAAATCCTGTCTAAACATTCTTATCTTCATTTAAAAGAGGCATGCATTTATTAATTACGAAATTTAGCTACTCTGAACCCAAATTAAGAGTTTGCACTAGACTTTGCAACAATCGCATTAAATCTTTTTAAACTGATTTTTAAGTGTTGCTGTTTTTACCTTAGACAAGGCTTTGGTTTCAGTTCTGCCATGCTTATGTGCTTTTCCTTGCATTATTTTTTCATTTTTCATTCATTCTTCCAGTTCTCTGCTTCCCAGCTCTCTGTTTTCACCCTCCAGTGCTGTGGATTTTTTTTTTCTTCCTAGCTTCCTCCTTTTTCTGCAGTGTCACTGGCAACTTGCTCCTGTTCTTCTGGTCTCCATTTTCCTGGCTATCAGTAGCAGGCATCTGCAGGTCCTCCCCCCTCTCCTCCTCCTTTGAAATCTGTGGAGTCTGTTTTTCTCCCCTGTGGAGTACACAGAGGTTGTTAAAGAAATGACAGGCTTACCCGTGTCTCTCAACAGTGCACGAGGAAGGTGCTAAGTGGGACTGACTGCAAAGTGCAAGAGCGAATGC